ATAACCGTTCAGGTTCGGTTCGGTTAATAACCTAATAACCGCGGTTAACCAAACGGTTATTGAATTTTTTTTCATATTTTAACTTTTATCCTCATTATTATTAGTATCATTTTTTTATACTTCAGTTTTAACCTTATATATTTCATCCAACAAACAATAAAATTTAATGTTTTTAACTTTTATCCTAATTATTGAAGTTTTTAGATATTTTTTATAATTTTATTGGAGGATTAATCATTTTGTGGATTTATTTGGATAGATATTTTGAAGTTTATGCAGGATTAATAATCTTTTTTTTCAATATATATCATAACCGAACCGAACCGATCTAAAACCGAGCCGAATAAACCAAAAAATATAACCGTTTGGTTATAATTTTATTATTCAAAAACCGAACCGAACTGAACCGAAATCGAATTGAACCGAACCGATTAAATCTATATAACTGTTTGGGTATGATTTTTTTATAACCGAAATAACCGAACTGAAAACCTAACCAAAACCCAAAATGGCCACCCCTAGAGACCACTATCATCGGTATTAGAGCCTATCTTTTTCTTTCTTTATTTCTTTCGTTATCGTTGATCCGGACCACTCGGTAGTACCATGACAACCAAAGAGGTCATTAACAATCTGAAATCAGGATTGGGACCACTATTACTTGCGTTGAATAAAACATGGGAGAATTAATATTCCTTTCTTGTAGGAGTTATATCTCTATTACGTTTTGTTTCATATATCTAGGACCCACTAAAGTAATTTTTTTTCATCTTTTCTATTTAAAAATTAAACTATGATGTTAAAAAAGATAGAGAATATTTTTGTAGAAATCTTGTGTTGGTCTTCGCTTTTGATTGGGACCACTATTATTGGTATCAAAGTCTATCTTTTTCTTTCTTTGTTTTTTCATTATCGTTGATCCGGACCACTCGGTGGTATCACATGACAACCAAAGAGGTCATTGACAACCTGGAATCTGGATTGTCGACCCTTTATTTTTTGCCATTCACGATTCGGACCACAACACGTGATATCACAATGGCGACCAAACAAGGAACGCATCGAATTTCTGAAAACAGAACTTTCGACATTGCAGAGTGAATTCGCCCAAGTGCAGACGTCCATGACAGAACAATTATGTGCACTAAAAACATCTCTCACTCGCCTCATTGATTCTCTTTCAGCGGCACATATCACTTCTCCATTCGATCGAGGGAAACAGATACGCATCAATTTTCCACATCTGAACCTTGTGGACAATGTTCTTCTCGATGGAAGGAGTATTGATGCGAACCGGCCGCTTAGCGGTTATTTGCGTTGAATAAAACATGGGAGAATTAGTCTTCCTTTCTTGTAGGAGTTATATCTCCGTTAGGTTTTGTTTTCATATATTTAGGATCCATTAAAGTGATTTGCTTTCATCTTTGTCTATTTAAAGATTAAACTATCGTGTTTAAAAAAATAGAAAATATTTTTGTAGAAATCTTGCGTTGTTATTCGCTTTTGATTGAGACCACTATTATTTAGTAGATTGTAATTTGAATAACAATGCTAAAATATGGTATTTTAGGATATTTCTCATCCTTTTGTTAGATTTAAAATTAACAAAACTTTGAACTTCAAAAAATCAAATAGAAACGGAAAATTTTCTTAGAACATGAACAAATAAAAAAACCCATATAAAAATCGACTAGAATAGACCCGTCACAAATTCTAAAAATAAATAAAATTGTTGGGACATCCATATGCTTCCCATAAGTATCAATGATCGATCTAGAAGCCTTGGTCACTTATCCTTCATAAGGATAGATTGCATGGTAAGATTAACTAGATTCCTGCAATAGATATATTCTACAGAAAAGGACAAACAAACAGAAAATAAACACATCGCTTAGTACTCCTACTAACACAGACAATAGATGCAATATGACAGGCTCCCACTAAGAAAAACACCCTCAATGAGTTTCTAAGTGAGCTAGGATCCATATTTCACATACTTCTGAGTTAGCTAGGGCATGACGCTCAAAACCATGCTATTTAGGTAGACAACACATTGTCAATCACATCCTATGTGATTCCTAGATGAGTATGGGATAGTGATACGCTATCACTGCATGTTCCTCATCCCATCCTTACCATTAGGTCCAAGTCTGACTTGATAAACCAATTCAAGCTCAACCATATTCGAGCTATGAGAATCACGATTTCTCCATACTCCCTCACCAAGATAGTCAGGTACGCTCAGCTAGGGCATGACCCGTAACCATGACGATCGAGGCCTTGACAGTTGCTCTACTAATGGGCGGTAACAGCTTGAGATTGATCATGAGGAAAAGGAAAAAATTTCGGACTTGAGAAGTCTGAGGTCCAGTCCGGAGCTGACCAGAATCTGGTCTGCCGGACTGACCTTGGTCAGCTTCTCTGGTCCGCCGTTCTATCATTTTTCGGAGAAATTCAGAGCTTGGTCTAGGGCTGACCAAGTTTGGTCAGCCCCGGACCAACTCAGTCCGTTCTCTGCTGCTCCGAGTTAGGCTGACCAAGGGAGAACGGAGTCAGTTCAAAACTGGGTTGGTCCGGGGCTGACCAAACTTGGTCAGCTCCGGACCAGTTCAGTCCGTTCCTTGGTCAGCTCGGAGTCCGCCGTCTCGGACCTGAGTTGTTCTTGTTTGGTCCGCCGGACTAACTTTTGGTCCGGGGCTGACCAGCGTGAAATTTGGTTCTCCTGACCAAACACTCAGTTCAGAGTCTGATCTGTCTGCTGGTCCGGCTGACCACAGACAGATCAGATTCGGGACAGATTTTTCGGGCTTCGAAATTAGGGTTTCGCCTCGATTTCGTCGCACCATTAACCCGTCCCAGGCTCCATACCATCCATGCATCATTCAACAATCACAAATATCATTAAACATGCATAGATTCAATGATTACATGCAATTTAACGATTAAATCATGCAATCATACAACAAGCACGGCGATATACAGAGAACCAGGCTCTGATACCACTGTTGGGATATCTACGGGTTCCTAGCATGCGATCATATCGATCTAGGGTTTGGTTTACTAGGTTTCATGCAGCGGAAGAAAGATATAAACCTAGTCAAACGTCACACGCACCCAAACTTGCAAAACCTGAAAGATCGTGTATATCATCGAGGGAATCATTACTTACCTCGTTCTCGATGAAACTTGAAGTTTATTTCGATCCGGGGCCTGTTCTAGATCACCTAGGACTGAAGTTACAGTCCCTCTACACGTATCCACACCGACGGGAAGGATTCCAAACGATTTGGAACGAATCTGCTAGGATTAGTGAAGAAAAGGGTAACTCAAGAGACAAGATCCAATCCCGGGACAATAGAAATAGAAGAGAACAGGTTCTCTAGGGTTCTAGGATGTTTCTCTGAGTTTTAGGTCGGCCTTAATTAAGTTTGGACGAAATCCCAAACTTAAATAAGCTTAGAAAACCCTAAAATCGAATTTTGTAAAGTTTCCCAGATCCCGGTCCGCCGGACCAGGGCGGACCAAGCTTAGTCCGAGCCTTCGGACCGTCTGACCTGGAGGTTTAGTCCGGCTGACCAACTTTTTGGTCAGCTCCGGACCAAACCTCTTGGTTCCTTTCCAGCCCACCGTTCCAGCGTCCTTGGTCCGCCTGATTCCAGTGTCTGGTCCGGGGCTGACCAACTCTTGGTCAGCCGAACCAGACCTGGACAGATG